AATCCACTTCGGTTTCCATAGGGTATATTACAAGGTAGTTCACGAGTAGTCAGCAAGCAATTTTTTTGTCACCGCGGATCAGTGGAAAGCTGCCGATTGCGGATCACACGAAGGATGGACACCTTATACAGTAAACGAGGGAAGCAGGTTCAACCCACTTCCCTCACTGAGTAGCATGTTACAAGGCTCGATGTTTGGACTTTACTTTTCAGCATATGTATTAAAACCGTTCCCATGGAGGACTTTTTCCATAAGAAGTGTAAATGTTTGATAAAGCGCTAAAGTACCCTACCACTTTCCAAGGGCAGTCCAGATGCCACAACCTGGCATCAAAATATCAGAAGAGATGGGTGACGTAAACTAAATAAATGCGCAAACATCATTGAACGTGAGCTCAAATCCACGCTAGCATCTACAACCTGAGAGATATACCGGCAGACTGTACCAGCGAGGAAAACAGCTTCAAACCATGCTTCAGAAGGGCCATTACTTGAGTGGCCATCCCGAGTAAATAAGGAAGAAGCAATCGAAACGCAGGCTTACCTAATGCGATGTGGTAAAAATATACTGGGGAGCTTTTGTGAGGTGCACACAAAAAGTGTAGCTTGGTTATTGTTTTTGGGCGCTTAATCGGATAGGACGTCCTCCTTTCCGGAAAATGTGTTAATTCCAACATGGTTTGGTGACTTATGCGGTGCAGGTTTCTCAGGAATGGGCATCTTTCTTGAACAAGATACACTGGCACAAACTCGGGTGGAAGAATTTTATTGGACCATTGTCCAGAAAGTTCACGAGGCTGCCGCGATGATCGTCCCGAAAAACCAACACGCACTCAGACGAGCCGCAGGCTGCCAAAAAGGATTCGGCGACATCTGGTAAAAAGGGCCCCAACTTCTTGTCAAAAATTCGAATGCAGGGGATACAGAAGATGAGCTGGCATTTCGTAAAATGCGGAACCAGTGTAAATCGGAAATCCGCAGATGGAACACACGAAAACAAGCCATTACCCCAGATCTCACTCGGAAAAAAACGTACTGTTGCAGCAGATGGGACCGCCGCAGAAACAAGCCATCCGCGTTCTCCTTGAGGGACAGAAACGGAGAACCGACGGATGACCCCACAATGGTATCCGAGGTCTACAGAGAACACTATGCGTGTCTATAATCAGCTTCAGCGTCTTAGTTACATCCACTCTTGTCAAGGCGGAACTACGAACAGCCTCTAACCGACTTGGTCTTCACGGTGGAGGACATTCGTCAACTCTTGTACAAGATCAACCCATTCTGCGCATTGGGACCCGACGAGGTCCATCCAAGGATCCTGAGAGAAACGTCCTCCACACTGGCAAATCATCTACACTTGGTGTTTCGTCAGTCGCTTGACAATGGCCGCCTTCTCTCTGCTTGCAATGAAGCAATAGTCACGCCAATCTACGAAACTTGTGACCGGCTATCGCCTGGCAGCTACAGGCCTATAAGCCTCACTAGCGTGCCGTGCAAGGTGATGGAAAACATTCTGAAGCAAGCTATCATAGACCATCTTACTTCCAGCAACCGGATATCTCCAGCTCCAAACCGTTCCTGCGTAGCAAACATGCTCGTGTTTATGCACAGCTTAACCCAAGCAAGGGACGAGGGACTCATATCGGATGCCATATTTTTCGACTTCTCAAAAGCATTTGGTGGGGTGTCACACGTCCTGCTGCTCCACAAACTTGAGTATTGCGGGATTCAAGGGAAAATCCCACACTGGATCAACACGTTCCAATCAGACAGATCACACCGAGAATGTCCTCGACCTACTCTTCTCCAGCGGCGGTCTCTATTCGAGTTACTCAAGGCTCCGTCCTGAGACCACTGCTGTTTCTGATCTACGTCAGTGATCTTCCAGATGTCCTCGCAAGTTCATCCCTACCTCTTGCGGACGACTTAAAACCCTGGAACTCCAATGCCAATGCCCTCCAAGTGGATGTAGATGCTGCAAAGCAGTGGTCATTCGATTGGTACCTACCCCTGAATGACGAAAAGTCGTCCATATGTCATTTTGAGGAGACTCAGCGAATGCATGGTGAGAAAGGACCGGCAGACTTCATGAGGATAGACGCCAAAAAGAATTTGGGTGTTTGGGTCTCCTCAAACTTGTCCTTCTCACTGCACCGTGAGAAATCGGCACAAAAGGCGTTCGCCATTTTACCGATGATCCGACAAACCTTCTCCCGTATCACTCGCATGGAGTTCCAAATACTCTATTGTGCCTACGTCTGACCGCTCCTTGAATACACCAACCAAGTTGTTTACTCAGGACACACGAAAGACGTCACCCTCATTGAGCGTGTCCAGCGGGCCGCCCCGAGAATGGTTGCCGGCCTCAAATACGTGGGCCATGATACCCGTCTCGCGGTGCTTGACCTATTCCCTCTGGAGAATCCTCACCTCCGAGGGGACCTAATTCTTACTTATGTCCTGTTTGAACGCAGCTTGGCCAACAGGTTTCTCTCCGTTGACCCAGCAAACACACGGCGGGACATAGGAGGAAGATTTTCAAGCTCATAGCGCACACATTCATCGGGCTAGATTCTTCTTCATTTCGGGTATTAGCTGTGTGGAATGACTTTCCTCCGACGGTTTTTGACGCTCCTTCTAGAACCCAGTTAAAGCACTACTAGATATTTATTGATGCGAATCTCCGCCCTGGCAGGCATACTTTCCCGTGCCGATAACATAAAGGGTAGTGCTACACCCTATATTCACCTGTGCCTTTCAGGCGAACGACAGCCGCTGAACGAGAACAGAACCGACCCGGCAACTTGGGCAAAAGCCTCGATCCTGTACATCAATCCATGAATCCGTGAATCCGTGAAACTACAGGCTCACCAGCTTCACTAATATAATCTACAAGGTATTGGAGCGTATTCTGAAGCCGGCAATGTTAAATCTATATTTATTGATTCTGGTCTCCGACAAAAACTTGATATCTTAAGCACAACACTGACCCTTCTATAATTATTTGGGTGGGATTGACTTGCTAGTTATTATGAACCGCTTAACCCGAGCCAAAGGCGAAGGACTCATACCGGATCCCATATATCTCGATCAACTAGAAGTATCCAGCTAAGTATGAAAGATTCCACAGCTCCGTATACATGAGTCCTGTGGGATTCAAGGAAATTCCCACTCTGGATCAAGCAGCGTCCACTGGACTGACATTTTTCTCCGGATGACCAAAAGTGCGTCAGGTTATGATGGGCATAATACAGGAGGTACATGCAATAATGAGAGTTTTTATTATGGTTGACGGTGGTTTAAAAGGGTGAATTGCACCATGTATAAAACAAATGCAATATGAAACGTAGAGCAAGTCAAATGCAGAACTCATCGTTTGTGATAGTCCCATGGTGAAAGTCCGGACGGCGGGAAGGTGTTTTCCCCACAGTATAGCTGCTAAGGGTGTTCCATAATTGTCTATATACTTGAAGTGTTTGGTTGACTCCTTGCACCTTGCGTGCGCGGGTCACTTCGTCGTGACCGTGTTGTGTGTTTTAGTAGGCTGTGTTCTGACCCTATATTTGTTGAGCGAAACGTGAAAGGACAAGTGTAATACCACATTGCGTCATTAAACAGATCGCGGAACCTGTTGTTGACCAAAGGTCGGATTCACGTCACGATTTTATTTGGAGATGATGGTTGTATTACCTGGAACAAAACAAAGCCTCGGGACACTGTTAACGCCGATTCACTTATCAGATTTGCTGACCGCTACACGCCTATAAGTTGTTCAAAACGACTTAGCGGTAGCGTCGCGTAAAATAGCCCTCTTCCGGCGGTCGTTCACACTGCACCTAGAACCCAATTCGAAGAAAATTTGGATGATTCTAATGTGGAATTTTGAGCTAACAAGCTCACCACCCATCTTTGAGACGTCGAAGATGGGCGCTGCACGCTTTCAGATCAACAGAAGCCCCCGAATTACGACAGTAAAACCTATCCGTGACCCTTGGATGGAAGCCTCGACCTAAAATATGCCATTTGAGCTTTCCAAGCAACCAGCGCAGCGCAAATAGCAAAACAGTGGATAATATTGCAAGACGTGTATAAGCCAGTTAGCCAGTCACATTAGAGAACACCAGACACTCTTAAGAACCACATAAACTCAGCTGGACAAGGATGAAGTACCCACTCAACTGCGCATGACGTTGTTTCCTCTACTGAGGACGGGACATTTACTTTCCGGTTTCCAAAGAATATATCCACGACCATCCGATCAACCACCAGTCTCTACCACATACGCCGACTCACGAATTAATGTGCTTGTGCACACCGTCTGATTAAGTAAACCTAAAACTTACTCGTGGCTTTTCCGAACAAGGCTTGATCAAAAGGTTTTTCACCGTTGATCCAGCTAACACACGGCGGAGACAAGGGAGTAGGAGTTTCAAGCTCAGACCACACACTTTTATCAGGCAAAATTTTCTCATTTTGAGTAGTTGCTGCGTGGAACAACTTTCCACTATCCATGACCCACGCTACATCCAGTACCAGTTCAAAGCATTATTAGGCAAATTTATATGTGAACCCTCACGCTCAAGATTACTACCCGGAGCTGAGAAGTTAAAGAGAAGCGTTGCGCCTTTTTTCGCTTGTGCCTTTCAGGTGAACGGCAGCCACTGGACGACGTTAACAAAACCGGCCCCAGAAACTAGAGCGAAAGCTTCGATCTTGTGTAGCAGTCTGTGAATCCGTGAAAATGTTGTATCGATTGACCTTGAGAGCTAGCAGCACCGTTTTAAACTCGGTTGCTGTGGGAGATTTCGGATTTTACAGCTCAGTGTCCTGGTCTTAAAGAAAAAACTAAATGATGAATGAGGGGCTAATGGAAGAACGAAGTCTTTCTAACGAACAGTATATTTTTATCAACAACGTAGACACGTATGTTTCGAAGAATATAGGAAAGGTTATTCTCACATGAACTATTTTGCAGCTAACGATAAATATTCACTTTAGTTTTTGTCAACACAAGTACCAAACATACCAGCGGAAGATGAAGGACAAGAGGAGTCGTATAATGAGGATCAGACGAGAGAACCATCTGGTCCTCCTAAACCTAAGAAAGGTTGCTTCATTATAAATGGTACCCTGAGCCATTTCAAAGCCAAACGCCCGCCATTTGTGAGAGACGTCCTAAATGTAAGCAAGTTTGCCCCTAATGAAGTGTCTGAAAAATCAAGTATGAGAAGAAATCACTTTTCTACGAGCATCTTATGAAACACGACCTACTTGTCTACGACCTAACTGTAGACCCGTCTGCTAGTGACGAGGCTCTGTGGGTTGCCCGGACAATGGAACAAGATGCTGAAAGGTTTGAAGACCAGAAAAAGTTCATCATTTTGACAAACCTCCTCACTTGGGCAAAAACAAAACCGAATGATCCGGTAAGTCTGAAACTTTCAATGAAAACCTTGATTCTTTTGACATTTGCTCACATTGTAGGCGGCGACTAATAGTTTCACCATTCAAGTTGCGTTGGCCGTTTAGGTACCGGGTATACCAGCCTTAGTTGGTGCGGATATTATATTCTAACGTAGCACGGTTTTGATCTGCTTCAGTGTGCTAGTCTATGATATGACCAACATTGCTGGTCACAATATCCAGCACAGGGGTCTGTCACGTTTTTAGCCTTAAGGATTTAACCGATTTCATGCAGATCCCATAAACGTGTACAAACCCGCAAATCAGCCAGTATTGCAGTGTGATACCTGCGCAAATTCGTTCCGCAAATCATTATGCACAGCCCGGATTTCCCCCCGATCACTGCATCCATCAGTAATTTAGAGTCGAAGACACCGCAGTCTTTCTTCGCATATCCTCCATTTCTTGCCATAAGCTCACCTGGGTGCCATCATTTGCGCTGCTCCCGGGTGCGTGGCGTCTGTTCTCAGGTAAGGAACTCAGGCCCACACGTACTATTCAGAGTGGGGCAAACTGAAGCACACCATAAGATATCCACACGTCAGGATGCCCAGCAGTAGCGGGGCATTTGAAAAGGCATAAAAGGAGCCCTGCGGGCTTTCCCAAAGACAATCGCAGTCTGTAAAAATGGCTGAATGGTCCGGTCAGTGACAACCCCGAAACGTTCAGTTTCCTCAGGTCTTTCAGCACCACCGACCCGTCCCTTCGGTGTTCTCCCTCATCTACGGGTGCGTTCCTAAGGGTGTTAGGCGAAAGGCCTCATGTCCTAGACAACTCATGCATACTAAGCAAAACAATCCAAGTTAAATCATCGCTCAGAGGCCATATTATTGTTACGGTTCGGTCACGCAGCGAGCAAACAATATGATAATGCGGATTGTGGCAATACTCTATCCCCAGCTATGTTGCTTGATACAGACTCCTAGCACGGC